AGAAGCGACGTTGTTTAATCCAAAGCAACGTCGTTAGTTCTGTATGGTTGTTGATTCCGGTCCAACCACTCTCGTTGCAAGGTTGAGAAGCACAATGAGGCCACAAGGTTCGCGACACTGCGAGCTCGACGACATCGGTGGGTAACAACAACGTCGATCTCGATACTGTGAAGTCGTCACAAGTTTAGCAACGTGGCGAGTCCAACGGGGGCTCAATTCCAAGACAACAACTTTGCAATTTGAGCGGCATTGTGAACTCAAGGATGTCGCGAGTTTAACGTTGTTGTGTGGTCAACGATGCCGAGAGATCAACAACCTCGCGGTGTGTAGGCGGTGGCGAGGGGTGAAACAACAATGTTGTTTAATCGATGGCGCGGTGTCGTGATTTTAACCGTGGTACAAAGTTAATTATGTGTGTGCACGTGACTACAACTCCGTGAAGAAGGATGGAGCACGTGGGAGATAGAGGCGAGGCGGTTTCACATCGTGAAGACTACGAAAGTGATTTTAATCAAAACACTAAAGCAAGGAGAGAAAGGACAACCAAATCAACACAGAAAACAACTCCGTTTCACTTACCTTTTTCTCTGTAACTCCTTCGCGGAGCTCTCCTTCCAGGAAGGATCTCCATAGTCGTAGCAGTAGTCGTACTCGCGGAGCTCGCCACAGGAATCTCCATAGGAGTAGTTGTAGCATAGATTCCACCAAAAATCTCAAACACCCTCGTTCGAACATTGTTTGGAGAGGTGTAAACCGTAGTAACGGTCGTTCTTGGTTAGAAGTCAGATGTGCATCGATCAAATCAACACCGCCCAGCGGTGGATATTTGACGATCGTAGTCAGAGTTGCACCGATCAAAACAACACTGTCCGGCGGTGGATATTTGACGGTTGTCTCAATTTCATCAATCAGCGGTGCATCCAATCAAATGGCACCACAAAAGTTTCCACATCGAAACAATCAAATCAACACCGCCCGAAACCATTCGGCATCGACGGTAGTATTTGGTTTCGCGGGAAACAGTATTATAAAAAAGTAGTGAAAATTAACATATTTTTTTTTTTTTTGGTTGAAGCATATATTGTTTTGTTAGGTTGGAGTTCAAGCAAAATTCTGATGATGCCACTGGCTACGCTACTGTAAACGTCCTAATTAACTCCCCATATCCATGGCCCAGTTTCAGTAGCCCTTTGTAATTGTAGCAATAATGCACGAGTGACCATTCTTGACTTTGGAAGGTCTACATTAATTACCACATGCAAATTGATCATAACTATCCATTCTTGACTTTGGAAGGTCGACATTAAATACCGCATGCAAATTGATCATAACTATCCAAAATATGGTCGGTTGTCCTAGTGGGACATGAATTTTGATGGTTGGAAGAGGCATGACTTATCGATACATGCGTGCCACATCAATGTGTGATTTAGTGATGCCAACAGTTTGTTTGTGGGTACGATTTATGTCACTATATATATATATAGTAAAGGCTAGCGAACACTAGTGTACGCTATATGTATGCGTTCAAACTTTGAATTTTCTTATTTAGACTAAGAATTAATTGGAGTTCGGGGCATTATATTATGTCATAACTTTTAATGCGTGAATTCCAGTTGATAATTCTCTAACTCGAACCATAAAATTCATTTAGTCTAAAAAATAACAACCAATAATTTTTATTCATCAAAATATATCAAAGTACATAAAACAAGTGTGCACGCGAGCGTATAGTAATAGTGTATATCATGCTCAACTTAAAGCTTGTTAACCGGCCTACCTAAACATATTAATCAATCTCATAACTCAACACTCACCACTGAAATTATTGAAGCAAATTGATGAATGATTGCTGATATAAAAGAGCCAACTAGCATCACCATTTATTTCTTCAGTTGACCAGGTGGTGGTGCATGGATATGGTAGAGCCATGCCTGCAAGTTGTTACATTTAATTCGTCATAAATTTTGCTTTTAATTTTCTTATCAATCAACGTACCTAATTATTTTGTTTTGTTGGAGGATGCCTATCCTATCGATATGGATACAAGCAAGTCATCAATACTTTCGTTTTCAGCCCTTTAATATAAGTAAGTATATCTCCCAGCCCAGGGGTAATGGCTACTTAACTTTATCAATAATTCAATATCAACTAAGCCATAGAAGAAGAATGTCGATCATAGCTATTTTGCTCCTATCTTTTCTCTTCTTCATATCTCTATGGTGCTCGATAGCATTTCTATCCAAGAGCAAAAGCGCTCCCGTCGTCGAATGGCCGGTGGTGGGCATGCTTCCGGCCCTGCTTTGGAATGCAACCACCGATCTCCACGGCTTCGTCGATCGAGTCGTGAAAGAGAGCGGCGGCACGTTCGTGTTCAAAGGGCCGTGGTTCGCCAAGCTGGACTTCGTGCTCACAAGCGATCCCATGAACGCCAACCACATCTTCAGCAAGAACTTCGCCAACTATGGGAAGGGTGAAGATTTCATGGCCGTGTTTGAGGAGTTTTTCGGGGAAGGTATCGTCAACACTGATGGCGAGTCGTGGAAGATTCAACGACAGAGGATCCATTCCTTGTTCAACAAGGATGGGTTCGAAAGCTTCGTCATGGAAACCCTCCAACGGAAAATGGAGGGCACCTTGTTCCGAGTCCTTGGTGATATTTGTTCGTCACGAGGACTCGGAGATGGTCAGGTGGACATGCAGGACGTGGTGAGCAGGTTCATGTTTGACAATAACTGCATGTGGGTCTTGGGATTCGATCCAGGTAAAGTATTAGGAATTAACTCTCGATTTAAAACACAAAGTATTAGATTACCTTTGTGCAATATACCAATCAATTTTATTTCTGTATCAGGTTACCTTTGTGTTGACAGACGTTTAGATACCTTCTCTTGTGGTAAAGCATATGACGATTTTGAGGAGGCGGCCATATACCGACTTATCGTTCCCAGAGGTGTGTGGGAATTCCAGAGAAGACTTGGGGTTGGATCGGAGAAGAAGATTAGCCAAAGTATTAAAATCTTGGATGAGTTTTTATACGGTGTCTTGAAAGCTAAGAAACAAGAGTTGCACAAAGAAGAACAACGTCAGCAACTTGATTTCCTAACACAATGGATGGTAGCGGATGAGAAGGGAGAAAGTTCAGATAAATTTCTACGTGATTTTGGAGTGACTTTAGTCGCAGCAGGGAAAGACACTATGTCTTCCGTTTTAACTTGGTTGCTCTGGCTGGTTGCGATCCACCCTAAGGTTGAAAGAAAGATTCTCGAGGAGATTGAGCGAGTAGTGGTAATGGCTACACCGGGTCCAACTCAAAGAGAAGGAGGAAGATTAGGGTTTCCCATAATAACTAAGGATGAGATGAATAGGCTTGTGTATCTCCATGCAACCATCTGCGAGACGTTGAGGTTGTACCCACCTGCACCATTCGAGGTTAGATGTGCAGTTGAAGATGATATGCTCCCTAGCGGCCATCTCATTCAAAAGGGCACTAGGATTTTGTTCTCCATATACTCCATGAGAAAGATGAAAGAGATATGGGGGAAAGATTGCATGGAGTTCAAGCCCCAAAGATGGATTTCGGAACAAGGGAACATAATCCACGTCCCATCGTACAAGTTTTTAAATTTTTTGGCAGGCCCAAGGTCTTGTTTGGGGAAGTCGTTGTCTTTCATGCAACTCAAGTTCGTGGTGAGTAATCTTTTATGGAACTACAAGTTTGACATGGTAGAGGGTCAACTTGTCAAGCCACTTGCGTCTATTATGCTGACAATGGAAAACGGCTTGAAGATGAGAGTTTCCAAGAGGGATTTTTAAGAAACATCATCATAATAATTGTGGTTTATAATAAATATTGGTATGAGCTGGATTGGTATCTAAATAATGTTGTAATATTATTATCATCATTCATAATTATTATTGTCTTATACAACAAATATACTGTGTGGTGCGATTTGAATAGATGACATGTTTTTGGAAAATATTGCAAAATCCACCTCAGTAGTGTTGTTTTACTTTTCGTGATGTAGTATACACCGTTTCTCCATTAATTTTAATAAAATAGAGTTGGGTCTTTTGCGACGGAGAAGAAGGTTGCTAAAATGTCTGAAAGTGGTTGCATTAGGTTATCAAGCTACCTAATTCTTCAGTATAAGTATCTCCCCAGGCCAAATAGTTACATAATTATCAATAATTATCAAGCCACCTAATTTTTCAGAATATGTGTTATCAGTTATGGCCATTGGAGACAAATTTATTTGACGTGTGGAGACAAAATATGAGGAGACAAACTATTGAGAAGAAGAGAATAAGATATGTGGAGGTTGGAGGAGGTTAATAGGATTAATTATTATAGTTTTTGTATTACTTTCAATTTTTTAAATACCCTTATTAATTAATTAACTTATAGCTTCTTATTAACTGCCTAATACCCAGCCAGCCAATAAAAATACTTTAATATTTTCCTTAAGTAATGAGGCTTAAGTACCCGAACTCAAATCTTCTCTAACTATAAAAATGTAAGAATGAACATTTAGTGAGTTGGGCTGGAAACAGTCAATTTAAACCGACTAAATCCACCCTACATCCTAATGAGATGGGTTTTATTGAATTGATTTGGATGGATTTCACAAATGACCCATTATTGATGCATGTGGGTGTTGTGGTGAAAAAGAACATAGCTAGAGAGTCTTGTTGCGTAGTACTAATGTTCGTATCATTATGTGTACTAAAGTAATCGACCGACATACCAAGTCAAAAGCTAGAAGCCTAGAACTACCAATGAAAGTATAGTATAAGAAGCCACGTAATTTGTAGATGCTAAATTACAAACAGAAAAGACATTACTAGGAGATATACCAATTATAAAGCCATAGCAAACCAATATCGAACAAATAATAACAATAGCCACATAAGCTTTCTATATCACGAAATTGATGCCCTTTTGGAAACTCTCGTCTTCAACCCATGCTTCATCGACAATATCATAGACGGTGTTGGTTTCACGACACGATCTTTCCCATATCAAGCTTGTAGTTCCACAGAATAGCACTGGTCATCGACTTGGGTTGCATGAAAGCCATAGTCTTGCCTAGACAAGTCCTTGGTCTTGAGATAAAAGTCATGAACTTGTACGATGGAACATAGATTATGTTCCTTTTTTCCGAAATCCATCTCTCTGGCTTGAACTCCATGCAGTCTTCTCCCCAAATCTCTTCCATCCTACCCATCGAGTATATGGAGACTAATATCTTTGTTCCCTTACGCACACAATGGCCTGTAGGGAGGACATATGCTTCCACGACACATTTGTGCTCAATTGGAAAGGGTGGGTACAACCTTAAGGTTTCGCATATGGTTGCATGGAGCAATATTAGTTTGTTAAGCTCATCCTCGCTCAGAAACCCGCCACTTGATGATGTTTTTGTGGTCATGACTTGTTTGATCTCTTCAAGAATCCTTTTCTTGACATCTGGGTGGGTCGCCACTAGCCATAACAACCAAGTTAGAGCAGAGGACACCGTGTTTCTGCTAGCTACTATCAAGCTGATAGAAACATCTCTCAGAAACTTGTTTGAGTATTTCTCTTCTTCTACCAAAAGATGTGTCAACAAGTCGCGCTTCTCGGTAGTGGAATTAATGATATTGTTTCCCAATGTTGATAACTCTTGCTTCTTCATCTCGATGCTTGCATACAAGAACTCGTCCAGAATCTTGCAGTATCTAGCCACCTTCTTCTCTACTCCAATCTGAAGCATCTTTTGGAATTTCCAAACACACATGGGGACAACATGTCGGTATATAACTGCCTCCTCGATTTCGTCAAATGCTCCCCCCAACAACAAGGCATGATCTTCTGATGATGACAACGATTTGGAATCAGACCCAAAATGGGGGAGGGTATATGGATCGAATCCAAACACGAGCAAACAAATATTGCCGAACACCAAAATTTTCGCCACATCCTGCATGTCCAAAATCTCACCAATCTTTCTTCCTGATGCATAATCATCGAGGACTCGGAACAATGTGCCTTGCATCTTCACCCTCAGGGTTTGCATCACAATATCCTCAAACTCCTTGTTGTTTATCAAGGAATGAATGAGTTGCCTTTGCAACCTCCATGACTGATACAACCCTGGATTGCCTCTTTACAAAGCTGGAATTACTTGTTCAAGAGGCTAACCCAAACCATTTGAACCATGTGGATTTTTGGTTAAGTATATTAACCGTTTCAGGTAGTCAACTTTGGGGCAATGGTTCTTCCAAATCTGTAGATGGAAAGGTGAGTTTAGAGCTTCAATTTAAACCTGGAGTTCCCCTCTACAAGCTGGAGTGTCTGGAAGATCGAGATGAAACCCAGAAGACCCTTTTCAAGGCTCGACAATATGCTTCTTCAACACAGGAATTCTGCCCAAATCTGTCCAAGTGTAAAACTGGGTTTGGATAGGCTACTTTGAAGCGCCATTCCAGAAAGGTGGGCGTGTTTCGAGTCAAGGGGTTTCCTTCCCATGAAAGTATGTATTTTAATGAGCAGAGGCGGGGCATCGGATGAGTCCTTTTGCACCTGGAAGTACTCCATCAAGAGCCGCAAAGATGGCATCAAGGCTGCTGGTGACTTGGGCTGCAGAAGCTAGTTTATTTCCTTATTTGTGTCGGATTGTTACTTTCTTTGCTTTAACGTTTAGGTTTACGAGTTGTGTTAGGTTTAGGACGGTTTACCTTGTTTGGGAGACTAGCTAGGGTCTATTTAAGCTTTCGATCGTATTGTAATTGACGGAAGTTTTATCAAAGAATACATTTTGTTCATAGAGCTTTTGTCTCGTGAATTGTCCTTGGTTGAGTGGATTCGATTCCTTCAAACAAGCGAGCTCAGCATCGATTGATTCATCACATCAATCGTGGACGAGTTGCTATCGTCATTGGGTCGAGCCTCTTCCCCTAGTTGGCGTTGAAGTTGCACGATTCAATCCGTCTTATCCGGTTCTTGGTCTGTTTTCCTTCGAGTTGGATCAAGGGAAACGAAGGTTTGATTGGCTGCGAGCTCCGAATCACAAGCTTCAGCAAGCTGAGGCTTATCAAGTGGTATCAGAGCCTGGTTCAACACAGTGGATACGACGCGTTGGACATGGTCTAAAGGACCTGTGTCCAGTGACCCTGCCATTCGTCGACAAAAATCAGAGGAAGAAACAGAGTCTGGAAGCGAGGCTCAAATCAACGAACTTGACATGGCTGGGCAGCAAATTAACATGACCGAGCTGCTGCAAACTCTCAGGGCAGAGATGGGAGTTTTATTCCAGACCCAATTCGACAGGCTGGATCAAAAACTAGAGCGGCAATCTCGACGGCTAGATGCTCTGGCTCCGCCGGAGAATATCTTGAGAAACGAAGAAAACGGCGGACGGAACCACGACGTTGTTCTTCCCCAGACATTAGCAGATCGAGTCCATGAATTGGAGCAGCGAATCATAGCTGCTGAACCCGAACGAGACCACATCGGAAGGAACCCAGAGGCTGATCATGGTGCCGTCTCGGAATTGCGAGGAATCAAGCTCGTAATTCCAACCTTCCAAGGAACAAACAACGCATCAACGTATTTGGACTGGGAGCGTAAAATTACCCTATTCTTCCAAAACGGCGAGTACACAGAGCCTCAGAAGGTGAAGCTCGCGACGTACGAATTCTCCGATTATGCCGCGCAATGGTGGGAACGAACTCAGCTTCGGCGGCGACAGAATCTCCAGCCAGAGGTAACCACTTGGGCAGAGTTACGGAGCCTTATGCGTGACAGGTTCGTACCTGATTATTACCAGCGGGAATTACACACGTCATTGCAAGAGCTGAGGCAGGGATCTCGCTCCGTCGAAGACTATTATCGTGAGCTTGAGCTGCTCATGATGCGCGCTGACATCCGAGAGGATCGAGAGGCGACAATTGCTCGCTTCCTCCATGGTTTAAACCGTGAGATTCGTCAAGAAGTAGAACTGCGGTCGTTCATTGATCTGGAAGAGGTTTTACACCTAGCAATTAAGGTAGAACGGCAGCTCAAAACCGTCACTGCAAGGCGGTTCTCACCTGCCCCCAAGGCTACCTCAGACGTTGCTCCAAGCTCAGGATCAACACCGATACGAACAGAGGCTGAGAAGCCTACCTTCTCTCGCAATCAGCAACAAAAAACTGAAGGCTCCAGCGCCAGTATCCAATGTTTTAAATGCTTTGGACGAGGACATAAAGCTAATCAGTGTCCCAACAGGAAGACACTTGTGCTACGAGATGGTGAATACTACTCTGAAGACGAAGAAGAAGAAGAGGAGAAACATCAGGGAACTTCAACTGATTCTGGTGGAGATGAAGTAGATGAGGAGGTTCTGATCACTGACCCACCTCCCGGCAAACTTTTCGCAGTTAACAGGAGGGCTCTCACTATGGCTTCTCACTCCGACACAGATCAAAGAGAGAACCTGTTCCAGACCCGCTGCGTAGTTAAGGACCAGACGTTGTCCGTGATCATCGACGGGGGAAGTTGTGCGAATGTCGTTAGTCTGGACGTGGTTAAACGGCTTGGCTTGAACACGAACAGACATCCAGACCCCTACAATTTGCACTGGCTTAACGATTACGGGGCTATTAAGGTGAACAAGCAAGCGCGTGTTCCCTTTGCAATCGGCGAGTACCGTGACGAATTGGTGTTCGACGTAGCTCCTATGCAAGCCACTCACCTTTTACTCGGTCGACCGTGGCAATTTGATCGCGGAGTGTGTCACTACGGAGGCACCAACTGCTATAAGCTACGACAGGGAAATCAGAGCTTCTTGCTCAAGCCGTTGTCGCCGGCAGAAGCTCGAGCCGACCAACGCCAAATGGAAGCTAATCGAGTACAGGCAAGGGACGAGACTCATCACACTAATCTTGTGGCGCACCGGTTCATGATCACAGCGTATAAGAAGGAACAGCGTTCCCGCCGTCGGCGAGCTAAGCTGCTCTGTGTTGCAGTGCCAAAGCAGAGCAGGAGAGAGGGGTATTTGGGTGGGGCTCTGGGGGAAATCCGAGTCCAACCAACCATGGCAGCACCTTCCTTGAAGCAACGGGGAGCTCCTACCTTGTCTGTAACGAGTCGAATCGACCTGATTTACAAGATTCGATTCGAGCAATTTCTTCTCTGGAAACCCGCCATTGCGTTGGAAATCCAGGGTTAACAGGTGGGGCGACTGGAAGTGAATTGAGGCAGGCCGACCCGGCAGCTTCGTTGGGGAGGGATGTACGAAGCTTGCGGCAACACCAATTGCAGCTCCAAATCCTTGTACCACAAACGCCCAATTGGAGCTTGCATTTCCTGGGTGCTGTGAATTTGAACACCAACGCTGGCGGGAAACGAGAAGGAGATGGTCCGACGCCAAAAAGGGTGATTCGAAGCTGGGAACCAGGTCACCACGACAATTGGAGTTGCGGCGAAGACGATGGTAACCCTGAATTGAACGGGGAATGTCCAAATCGAAAGCCCCCAATTCCCTGGAGGAAGAACGCTGTCATAATTTCCCAGAATTGGCTGTTTGGTACGTCATCTTTTGACCCGATTTGGAGCCAATTTTGTGCAGGATTTGAGAAGAGGAAGAACCCAGCTTTGAGGACAAAGCTTTTTGAAGAGGAAGGGCCTGATACAACCCTGGATTGCCTCTTTACAAAGCTGGAATTACTTGTTCAAGAGGCTAACCCAAACCGTTTGAACCATGTGGATTTTTGGTTAAGTATATTAACCGTTTCAGGTAGTCAACTTTGGGGCAATGGTTCTTCCAAATCTGTAGATGGAAAGGTGAGTTTAGAGCTTCAATTTAAACCTGGAGTTCCCCTCTACAAGCTGGAGTGTCTGGAAGATCGAGATGAAACCCAGAAGACCCTTTTCAAGGCTCGACAATATGCTTCTTCAACACAGGAATTCTGCCCAAATCTGTCCAAGTGTAAAACTGGGTTTGGACAGGCTACTTTGAAGCGCCATTCCAGAAAGGTGGGCGTGTTTCGAGTCAAGGGGTTTCCTTCCCATGAAAGTATGTATTTTAATGAGCAGAGGCGGGGCATCGGATGAGTCCTTTTGCACCTGGAAGTACTCCATCAAGAGCCGCAAAGATGGCATCAAGGCTGCTGGTGACTTGGGCTGCAGAAGCTAGTTTATTTCCTTATTTGTGTCGGATTGTTACTTTCTTTGCTTTAACGTTTAGGTTTACGATTTGTGTTAGGTTTAGGACGGTTTACCTTGTTTGGGAGACTAGCTAGGGTCTATTTAAGCTTTCGATCGTATTGTAATTGACGGAAGTTTTATCAAAGAATACATTTTGTTCATAGAGCTTTTGTCTCGTGAATTGTCCTTGGTTGAGTGGATTCGATTCCTTCAAACAAGCGAGCTCAGCATCGATTGATTCATCACATCAATCGTGGACGAGTTGCTATCGTCATTGGGTCGAGCCTCTTCCCCTAGTTGGCGTTGAAGTTGCACGATTCAATCCGTCTTATCCGGTTCTTGGTCTGTTTTCCTTCGAGTTGGATCAAGGGAAACGAAGGTTTGATTGGCTGCGAGCTCTGAATCACAAGCTTCAGCAAGCTGAGGCTTATCAATGACTCTCCATTGGCATTGAATATGCCTTCCCCTAGAGTCTCGTCCATTATGACTTTTACGAATTGAGGATAGAAGAAAGGAACTTCTATAATATAAGATAGAAGTAAAGATCTTCTATAGGTTGTTTTGAGAATAAAGTATAAAGGATGAAAGCGAGAACGACTTTTGTCTAAGGCAGGAACCCTAATAATGTTTTAGTAATCATTTTCCTAGGGCAAAGACCTTGGAAGTAACGACGAGACTGACTCCTTCTCACTCACCAGGTGTAGAGAGTGGGAGAGGAAGTTTTCATCATGAGGATGTTACCAGAGGAGAGCAGCTGCGCCAGACTTGGAGATGTCGCAAGGATCGGGGTAACTAGAT